GTGTCCGAGAAGAGAGAGCCAGAACTGAAGCAGTAGCCGCTGCAATCCCTCCATGCCGAAGTAAGAGAAGACTCTGAGCAGTTTCTGCAACATCGTTTTACTGACCATTTCAGCCCCAGACTGCATGTACGGTTGAGACCAATCTTAACCGCTTCCACAATAGAGCGTCAGCTTCAGCAACCACTTCTAACCGCTTTCGGCAAGAAATGTCCCATATGTTTCACTTGCAGTTGAGGGGAGCCAACACTGCAAGGAAAACTCCTATTGGGCTGGACAAAAGTTTAGGCGTTTGGTTTCTGTTACTCTATAGAGTTTCTGGGAGGGTACGGTGCACGGTACCTAGGCCCTCTAGAATCGTTTGCAACCATGGGTGGTGTTTTTGCATTATTAATGTACTTTTACGCCCTTCTTAAAAAAAAAAAAAAAAAAAACAAGAGTCGACGAAATCGTCTTAGGGTTGCGGAGCCTTTTGTTGATTAAGTAACGTTATAATTGCTTAATGATTGTTCATAGTCATGAGAAAGCCTTGTAAAACATAACATCAATGGTTGATAATTATAATTGCGGCAATAAATAAGGTATCGACGAATGTGAGAAAGGGATAGCAACGCATTAGAAAACCAAACTATATAAGTAATTGAAGAAACAATTTCTCTCTCCAACCTTTCAACACGAATGCGAAAGGTGCCTTACAAGAGTCGGTCCGCAAGAAAGGTCTCTTTTCCTCGAATGTTCTTTTTGCAATAATCTTGAATCCTTCAGATCATTTCCTTCCTTCTCTTGCCACCACTTTCCCCGTTTCTCGCCAGCACGGGTTCCTAACGCGCCACCCCTCACCTCCTCTAGGGTATGTCTCTCACATCCTTCCCTGCTATGTTGTTTGTAGGGCCGTAGGCATTGCGACTATTATCCTTAGTCGCGTCTTGGGCTGCAGTTACACTACAACCTAGCTATTATGTCGTTTTGTGGGCTGCAGCATAGCGACCAAGTTCTTAGGTCGCCTTTTGGGCTACAGCCCATTGCGATCTTTTACTGAGGTCATTTCTTGGGCTGCAGCCCACTGCGACCTAATAGTTAGGTCGTTTCTTGGGCTGCAGCCCATTGCGACTCTATAATTGTTGTGTGATGTCATCATATGCTATCACATTGTGTCTGCCTCCCATCTCATGTTTTTCAACTGGCATGTGTGTATTGAATATGTGCAAGCATTTATGCGTGGTGTGTTGTGGAGTTTGGGAATGTGTTTTGTGTTATTATGTCTGAGCAGGTATTTGTGATGATAGATCTTGAGAAGATCTTTCCGAGGCAACAAGAATCTCTTCAATCGGAGCAAGAACGCGAAAGCTATGAAGATTCAAAGTTCATGAGCTTGCGTTACAATTGCGGCGGTTACAAAGTGAAGTTGTGGGGTGACTTTATATGGAGTTGGGACCTTTGGGGTTGGGGAAATTCGTCACTCTACTGTAATAGCTGCAAATTGGTTGGGAACCACCAAGCTAGGTTGGCAAGGGTGGCCAACTTGGTTGGATTGGTTGGGAAGGGACAAATGTCAAAGTTGGGGTTCCTATAGGGAGGGAATCTTTGTGCTTATGGGGTTTCCTTGGTTAGGGACTCTCTTGGGACCTTCCCTCTCATCCCTCTCTTCTATCCCAACCTTTCTCTTGCTCCTCTAATTTCTTGTGAGATTCTTGAACTTTGATTGAACTGACAACGGTAGCTGAAGTTAAGAGCTACAACATATCCAAGTTTCGCGACATTCCAATGGCTAGGTTTTCGTCAACGTCGTTTCTTGTGAAGACGACTTTTCTGTCCAGAATTTCGGATTTATATTCTGAGGAATTCTAGCTCCTAAACACACCTAGACTCCGTCCTTAATCCTAACAAGGTGTACATGAAGTAGCCAGAGGGGCTGGATGATGGGAGCGGCAGGGTCTGCAGGCTGAAGAAGGCCATCTATGGCCTTAAGCAGGCGCCTCGTGCATGGTATCACAAGTTGGAGGAGGCGCTGTTGGCTGGGGGTTTCAAGAAGAGTGAGTGTGACCCCAGCCTGTTCCTCCTACAGGAGAAGGATGAAATCCTCATGCTCTTGGTGTACGTGGATGATATCATTATCTTTTCTGCATCAACTGCTTTGCTGGACAGCGCAGAGCAGGTGTTGGAGATGCAGTTCAAGTGTTCCAAGATGGGTGAGGTGAAGTACTACTTGGGGATGCATGTGGAGAGAGATGTGGAAAAAGGTGTGCTGAGGTTGCACCAGAGGAAGTACTGTGAGGGGCTGGCTGAGAAGTATGGGCTGCAAGATGGGGGAAAACCAGCAACACCACTACCTTCGGGGTTTACTGTGGAGCCATGTGCTGATGAGGAGGTAGTAGGTGAGAGTGACAGGAAGCTGTTTCATTCGATGGTTGGGTCATTGAACTATGCTGCAAATCATACACGGCCTGACATTGCATTTGCTACATCACAGTTGGCTAGTGTGGTCTCACGCCCTAGTCATGAG